GGCCCCGAGCCCCAGCAGGCAGTCACCAGGCCAGGCCGGCACACACCCCAGTGCAGTGCCCAGCCCCAGACCCCAGCAACCCCCAGCACGCCGGCGGCCAGCCGCACACCCCACCGGGGGGCCGAGTAGCAGCGGGCCCTCAGATAAACGAGGGTGGGGGGACATTGTTTATTTTAAATGACCTAAACTGTCAGCTTAGACTATAATATCTTGCTCATCCTATTTTCATTCATGGATGGTTCTTCTTCACTTCAAACTCCAGTTCTTCACCAGAGACCCAACCAAAAACATCAACCAAAGTGTTGTATTGAAAGATTTAATTGTCAGTTATTTACAGCTCCAGATGGCCTGACCTCTGTTCACATGGAGAACTACCACAAGATTCCTTTGTTTAAAAAAACAGTTTTTTTCAGATGTTCTTGAACTTAATTTGGTGATGCTATCTCTGCTCTGTTCAGGAGGAAGACCAACAACACAATGACTGTGCACACAATGTGTCACCACCCAGCTCTGCCTCTGGACGGTGTCGAACCCACCCTGCTGCTGAACTTCACCTCCAGAGAGTGTCACATGGTCCCACAGGTGGTTGAGAATGGAGTCATGATGGTCTGTGGCTGCCAGGGGGAACACGAATGTAATGACAAACTCATCTTTGACAAAGGGGCCAATGGTAAGCAGAGGGGTGGAGCTTAGTGAATGGAGGATGTCAAAGATGGTGCTGGTTGTGATGTTTGAAGAACTGAATGGATGGGTTGACGAATGAACGAGAGGATGTAAAGACTTTATGAATGTAACCACAGACCTGTGCTCTGGTTCTTCAGGGTTCTCTAAGGTGCAGAGAAAAGATGTCCTCCCAGTTGTGGTGATCAGTTTGGTGCCTCCTGTCCTGGTGGCCATTGTTGCCACTGTTGCCTTCTACTTCTACAGAATACGCTGCCCTGATAAACCAGGCCATCCTGCTCATCCTGACTGGCCCACTAAACGCTCCCCAGAGCTCTACCAGGCCTTGGACCTGCCACATGAGGGAGCAGGTTGTAGGACTGAGGGCAGAGGAGAAGGTGGGAGTGGTCCTGGGGTTGATCAGAAGAACCAAGTGGCTGAACTGCTGCCAATCAAACTGGAAATGTTATTGGGGAAAGGACGCTTTGCTGAAGTGTGGAGGGCACGCCTGCTGCAGGGCCAGAAGGGTGGCGTTGACAGTAATAAAACTGTAGCCGTGAAGGTGTTTCCAGTCATGGAGTACACCTCCTGGAGAAATGAGTGCTCCATCTTCTCTGAGACTACATTACAACATGACAACGTGATTCAGTTCCTGGCATCTGAAGAGAGGGGCCCACCAGGAAAGACCTACTGGTTGGTGTTGGCCTATTACAGCCTAGGGAATCTGCAGGACTACCTCATAGCAAACACACTGAGCTGGGAGGAGCTGGTCCACATGGCAGGAAGCATCGCAAAAGGATTAGCTCACCTGCACTGTGACACCACATGTGATGGAGAACCAAAGGTAAACCATTTTAAACCTGTGATTACTGATCAGGGCAACAAGAAAATACTAACTGTTGGTGACTTACAGCAAACAGCATTCATGATGGAGGCACTGATGTAAAACAACAGGACAAATAGTGAGTGAAAAATCATGATGGAAATGAAAAAATAACATTATGTAAGGGACCCTGAAAAACACTTAACAGGGCTACAACTACTGATTATTTTGGTATTTCATCCTCGCTCAGTTTCCCAAGTTTACACTTTCTGTTCTGATCCAGCACGTTTTACTTTAACTGCTGTAGCCCTGAAAATATCATCCTGTTGTTTCTGACTGAATCTAACACGTCATCTCAGTCATCYAAAAGAATATAAATATGAATGATACATCTAAGAAAATGTGTGGAATATTTTACATAATGTGACCAGCCCCCACCCC